GTAAGCACCCTGCTCCATAGTGTGAACGAACAGGGCGACTGGGGCCTTGTTGGGCTCTAATGGGCATTCGAATAAAAAGCCACCGTAACTGTGAACAACCAAATCACCTAAGACCACAAACAAGATCTAAGAAGGGGAAGGGCAAAACCCTGCACCGGCATGAGGTGACTCTAAGCCGGGACTAGGTGGTCTGCAAGGGTTACAGACGGGCTGTGTCTGGACCTCTCCTAGGCAGATACTCTTACGGCAGTGAGACACATGGAGAGAGAAATGGTGAATGAGAAAGACACCGTTACCTTGGAGGGAAATCTAGTTGGAAGGAAGAAGAAAAACCTAGTCTTCGTATCTCCAGGGTGGTGGTGATCTCTCCCCTGGTCTCCAACTTCCAGGCTCTGGAAACCACCGCCCTCCCACCACCGACTCCTGGAGGAACTCAGCGGTCTGCCGGGCCCCGTGCCCTCCGGTGTAGGGTGCATACGGTGGCTGCTTGGGCCCTGTGTGTTCAGTTCAGCACGGCCCCCTTTTCAGGCTCACTGGCCACTTTCCTTTAAGAGTGTGGCAAAGCACCTTAAAATAGAAGCCCACCCGCGCACAGTTACCAGTTCGAGGCCGCTCCTGCGAAACAGATCAAGCCAACAACTAGCCTTGTTTCCTTCCTTCACTAATCACTGGCTTTGATCAATCTGAAAGTCAGTGGCTGCTAAATGCAGCCTTCTGTCCAGGTTAGCCAGCAAAGCGTGTGCTGTTTGGGGCTTTCGACTTGTTCTCCAACAAAGTTGTGGTTTTTTTTTTTTTTTTTTTTTTAATATGTAATTTTTTGGCAAGGTTGGAACGAAGCCTACTTTTGCTTCCCTGACAGTCCAGTCGGGCATCGTCTACTCTAATGGGGTTATGCAGGATTCCTCCCATACGTACACAGTTCTTTGAAGCAAAATTCAATGCTTTCATCTTGACTACAAAGTGGTTCCAACAACTCCAGCTGAGGGAAAAGATAAGATACAAATTGGGCCCGCATGACACATAATTTTCAAGTCTCGTTAAGAAAGTAAAAAATGTTTGGGCATGTTTCTGATCCGTGAGTAGTATTTTCAAGTATGCAGAAACAAAGAGTCCTGGAAGAGATTCCTTTGCACCAAAAAGTCCGTCCTCCCTTTGGCCATCGGTGGTATGTTACGAGAAATTCGTCCGCAACGTTACGGAACCCAAGAAGGGTAAACCGGAGGGATTTAAAAAGAGTCCCTTACAAAGAATAAGAACCCCTGTAACATCTATCTGAGAATACGATATAAATCAGTGAGTAGATGTGGCATCTGGAGCTACTCACTACATTACCAAAAACAAAAACAAGAAGCCTAATTCTGCAGGATAAGGACATCTGCTCCAAAACAGCTAACCGACCACGACTGCCACCTAGAGGCGGTCTGTCTCTGTGCGGGATCCGGGACTTGGAACGTTGCTCAAGTCTGACTGTTGGCTGCCAGGAGAGCACTCCAAGAGTTGCAGCGCCGTCTGCCCGCCGTCCGATCACAGAGCAAGAGGCAGGAAGGGAGACTGTCAGCTCCTCCGCGGCTGAGGGCCGCTGCGGTCCCCTTAGTCTATGGCTCCTGGGTGGATACTGAGCACAGGGGGCTCCAGGCATGTGGGGGAGTAGTTGAGGTGTGGTTCTTTGATCCACAACAGGGGCACCCCATTCTTCCCGTCGGAGCTCTTGCTGGAGTTACGGCTCTTGAAGCGCACCAGCAGGATGGTGATGATGAGGATGCCGAAGATGGGGAAGGGGTAGAAGAAGACAAAGTAGAAGAGTGCGTCGTTGGAGCAGATGATGGACTGCAGGGTGGAACCTGAAACAGAGGCAGGACAGTGAGGGCGGGGAGCCTGGACTGCCCGCCTCTGCGCCTCAAGACCTGGCCCAGCCCACCCGCAAACCCTGCGCCCACCCTGTCCTTCCCTTGCCGCTGCCAGGGGTGGGGGGACCACCCTCCTGGCCGGGTTCTCACAGCGGCGCCTCCTTCCACTCACAGCTGGAAGTTCATTCAAAGCGGTACCCCCATTTCCCACCGGGAGCCAGGACTGCGGCTTGGAAAGTCATATAAGAAAATGTAGTCTATTGACCGTGAACCCAGCTGCCCCTACAAGAAGACGCTGACTGCACCGAGTCCGCACCTCCTGCCCGGTGGTGTTTCCCATGTCCCTTGGCACCGAGCTCTGCTCCAAGTGGGCTTCTCTGGGAAGTGACACATTCTCTCCCCGCCAGCTTCTCAGAGCAGTTTTACCAGAGACGATGGTTACTTGAGTAACCTTAGCAGTGGTTAACATTATCAACTGAAATGCCATTACGGACCACTTACAAGTGTCCAAAAGTGTGTCTGTGGCTACAGAATTCATTCTGGACATGGAAGAGGATGAAACCGGCCCCCCCTCTTCCCAGACCCACAAGGCCTCAGCAGGGGCCCAGCCCCTGGTAACCTCCCTTTTCCCTAGAAAATAAGGCTGTTGGCTGACCACCACGTTCTATGAAACGTAATAAATAGGGGCATCCGCGGTGGGCAGACGGGTCTAAACACCTTCCCTTGTCCTTTTGGGTCATGCACTAGTTTGTCAGGGGTCTGAGTCTCATTTAGGCTTTTCTCTGCGTTCTTTTCTACTGCACAGCTGTTGTCATCAGTATCATGAAGAAAACTCAGCACGTGCTTATTAGATTTCCACAGTACATGAAATCGCTGATAGTTCCCCGCTCCACCCACTTTTGACTTACAAAACCTCAATTTCATATGGTTCCATCTAATCAACAGGAGGTAGTCAAAGAAAAGAAAAAGCTGACAAAGCTCAAACATTCAAGTCAGAATTACCTAGTAAAATGCATTGGCTGAAACGGAAACGAAGTTACAGTTTCTAGCAGATTCTGTCTTTCTGCATTCCAGGCTAATTCTACTGTAACAAACACCGCCTTCAGTCTGCCGTGTCCCACGCTCTGACAAAAGGCAACTGTAAGAGTGCCCTGTTAGAACAAATTATTCAGCACAGCCATTATTTCCTCTGGTCTCTGTCCATGGAGTTCCTTGATCGGGTGAGAAGTCCGAGTCCTGGACCAAGGGAGCAAGGGCCGCCGCTAAGCCCTTCCTAGATGCCCTGTGGCATCACCCACTGCCCTTCTACTAGTTGGTTCTCCCAACCATGCGACATCCCCCTAAACCTCGAAATCACCCTCCAAAATACACATGAGCCAAGAACACAGACCGTACTCAGGCTTCATTGTTTTGGGTTTTTTTT